CTCCTCCTCCCTCTTCTGGCCTGCAAGTAAAGCTCATTGCCTCCCCTTCAACCTGCTACCGCCCTGGTCCCCAAGACAGCTAGGGTTCCACTGTCCACCAGGATACCCATGTCCAAATAGCACCACACTGGACTCCTCCCTCTCCCTAACTCCCCATCATCCTCCAGTCCTGCCATTGCCCGCACAGCCGTCCAGAACTCTTCCCCTCCCCCAGCCCTGCTTCAGGGGCCCAACTCTGCCCATACAGCTGCCTTCTCCAGCTCTACCCTCATCCTCCACACAGTAACCAGACCATGACCCTCAGCTGCCTCAGTCCTTCCATGACTCTCCACCACCCTTAGAGTCAAGTTCAAAGTTCCTAGCCAGCATTCAAGACTCCCCATACTCCAGCCCCACAGGTTGGGGAACGGAGGAAAGATAAGAAGCAGAAGTCAACCAGAGTCCCCAGTCCTGCACCCTCTGCCAGGACCAGCCACTGACCAGGCACATCCAGACCACGACGCCGCTTGCAAAGCTCCTGCAGCTCCACCAGCAGCTCCACCAACTCCTCCACGCAACCCTCAGACACAGCCGCGAAGATGCGCTTCTTCAGTCGCTTCTTGTTCCGCCTCTGCTCTTCCTTGGCCAGGTTTGCACTGAGGCCAGAACATGTTTCCAACTTACCACACAGGCACCTCTGCCCCTCACTCTCTTCCCTTCCGCCAGAGCTGCCTGCAGGGTGCTGCACTGGCCTCTCCGACATCTACCATGCCTGCCACATGTCCGCAGTCCCTGCACATTGCTCTGGGCCCCAGGCTCTGTGCTCCCCCAGCAGGCTCCCCTTCTAATTCATATGCGATCGCATGTTGTCAGAATACATCTTTGGATACACACAGTAATGATCAGGAACGATACATGCCCAACTGTTAATAGTGATTACCTCAGAAGTATGGGGTTTCATAGTTTGTGTTGTTTGACCTTTTAAAATCCTCCCCATCCTCACACTCTGGGCAACCATGGCAGTGCATTGATGTCTCCTTTTGTTTATATGTGTTCTTGAAAAATGCATATTGAAGTCACATATGCACATATGTTTAATTTACATTAATGGCATCAAGCAAAAGTTTCCATTCCACTACATGCTTTTGTTTGAATGTTTTGTAATGATTGGTTATCTTTTCACCATTTATAAAATATGAGACCCCACTTCTCCCCAGAATGTCCTACATGTAATGGGGTCATGTCCCCAGACACTTGTTCCAACCCTCAAGAATGGTGGCTTCTTTTACTTTCCTGCAGGGCTCTGAAGCCTGTCCCTCTGCCACCTCCCCTTGGTGGGCACAGTGAAAAGAGGGGGAGGGCCAGACTTACTTGGGACTATTGGGATTAGACGGGGTCTCTGTCACATCATCCTGAGGAGACTGGGGGGAATCCATGTCATCACAGTTTCCAGAGATGCTGGAGGTGTCAGGGGAGGGAAGGGAGACGGTTTAAAATTTTTTAAATGGACAGTGGTAGCCTGTCATGTGGCTAGGGCCAGTTACTACCCACCTGCTGGAGCCAAGGGCAGGAGGCTGAGCCAGGGACCAATACTCACCACTGCCGGATGTTGGAGTCCATGGGTTTGGAGAAGACAGGGGGAGAGGTCTTGGCCACAGTGGGGTTGGGCTCAAACCCTTCTATCTCCAGGAAGAAGTGTGCACTAAGGGAACAAAGAAGGCCATCAGAGCCAGGCAGAGCCTGTCCACCTGTGTCCTGCAACTCTGCCATGGAGGGTTCCCCCCACATTGTGCCCACACCACCTCTCCCAGTCTCACAGGAGCCCTCTCAGTACTGTCATTATCACCCACATTTCACAGATGAGCACTGGGAGCCTGTGGGTGAAGCAACTTGCTCAGCATCACACAGCAGGTTGGTGGTAAAGCCTGGATTCAAAGTTGGGTCTGTGATTTGCTGCTAGAAATACTGGTTAGATGAACCCAGGAGTCTTCACTGGGGGTGAAGTCTTCACCTGAGCGAGATCTCCCTATCTGCAGCTGCCTCTAGGTGCAAAAGACTCATCACAGATGGGAAACATGGCAATGGGGATAGATTCCCCCATCACCACCTAACTGCTCCCAGGTCTGAAGTGAGGTCTGAAGTGAGAGCCCTTCCAGAGGGAGGTCCTTAGACTCTGAGATCTACAAAGGCCTTCCTAGTTCTTGAGGGAGAGGGAAAGGGCTACAGTTATACTCAGCTCCCTTTGATCAGCACTTGGGCTGGTTGTCACAACAGAAAACAGGCTGCAAACAGCTGATCTAAAGCAGGGAGGACTGTAGGAGTCTGGGGGCCCGGCTGGGAGTCCCTTGTCAAGAAGGAAAACTGCTGGGTGTGATCACTTATACCTGCGATTCCAGTACTTTGGGAGGTGGAGGCAAGAGAATCACTTGAGGTCAGTAGTTCAAGACCAGCCTAGGCGATGTAACAAGACCTTGTCTCAACACAAAATTTTTTTTTTTTTGAGTTGGAGACTCACTCAGTCGCCCAGACTGGAGTGCAGTGGCCGCTCCCGGCCACCGCAGCCTCGCCTGCTGGGCCCCTGTGATCCTTCCGCCTCAGCCTTCCGAGTAGCAAGAATTACAGGCATGTACTACCACGCCCGGCTGATTTTTTTTATTTTATTGTAGAGGTGAGGTCTCGCTGCCCAGGCAGGTCTCGAACCCGCAGGCTCAGGCAATCCACTCACCTCAGCCTCCCAAAGGCGCGGGATTACAGACTGAGCCACCAAGCCTGGCTAACATGAGGCAAGAGAATCACTTGAGGTCAGTAGTTCAAGACCAGCCTAGGCGATGTAACAAGACCTTGTCTCAACACAAAATTTTTTTTTTTTTGAGTTGGAGACTCACTCAGTCGCCCAGACTGGAGTGCAGTGGCCGCTCCCGGCCACCGCAGCCTCGCCTGCTGGGCCCCTGTGATCCTTCCGCCTCAGCCTTCCGAGTAGCAAGAATTACAGGCATGTACTACCACGCCCGGCTGATTTTTTTTATTTTATTGTAGAGGTGAGGTCTCGCTGCCCAGGCAGGTCTCGAACCCGCAGGCTCAGGCAATCCACTCACCTCAGCCTCCCAAAGGCGCGGGATTACAGACTGAGCCACCAAGCCTGGCTAACATGAGGCAAGAGAATCACTTGAGGTCAGTAGTTCAAGACCAGCCTAGGCGATGTAACAAGACCTTGTCTCAACACAAAATTTTTTTTTTTTTGAGTTGGAGACTCACTCAGTCGCCCAGACTGGAGTGCAGTGGCCGCTCCCGGCCACCGCAGCCTCGCCTGCTGGGCCCCTGTGATCCTTCCGCCTCAGCCTTCCGAGTAGCAAGAATTACAGGCATGTACTACCACGCCCGGCTGATTTTTTTTATTTTATTGTAGAGGTGAGGTCTCGCTGCCCAGGCAGGTCTCGAACCCGCAGGCTCAGGCAATCCACTCACCTCAGCCTCCCAAAGGCGCGGGATTACAGACTGAGCCACCAAGCCTGGCTAACATGAGGCAAGAGAATCACTTGAGGTCAGTAGTTCAAGACCAGCCTAGGCGATGTAACAAGACCTTGTCTCAACACAAAATTTTTTTTTTTTTGAGTTGGAGACTCACTCAGTCGCCCAGACTGGAGTGCAGTGGCCGCTCCCGGCCACCGCAGCCTCGCCTGCTGGGCCCCTGTGATCCTTCCGCCTCAGCCTTCCGAGTAGCAAGAATTACAGGCATGTACTACCACGCCCGGCTGATTTTTTTTATTTTATTGTAGAGGTGAGGTCTCGCTGCCCAGGCAGGTCTCGAACCCGCAGGCTCAGGCAATCCACTCACCTCAGCCTCCCAAAGGCACGGGATTACAGGCTGAGCCACCAAGCCTGGCTAACACAAAAATTTTTAAAAATTAGTGGACGTGGTGGTGTGTGCCTGTAATCATAGTTACACAGGAAGATAAGGCAAGAGGATCTACTGAGCCCAGAAGGTCAAGACTGAGGTGAGCCATGATTGTGCCATTGCACTCCAGCCTGGGCAACAGAATGAGATCCCAACTCAAAAAAAAAGTGTAGGGAGGAAAACCCAGGAAACCACCCAAGCAGCTGAGGGGAAAGGGAGGAATAAGGGTCAGCTTTCTCCTTGCGCTGGGAGAAGAGAGACAGAGACCCCGGGCCCTGTGGCCTGACTGAGCCCTAGAAGAAAGGACAACACTCACTGCCCTGTGTGAGGCAAGACACACACCCAAGACGTGACTCCAGCCAGATACAGCCCGGTCCTGCCTTCAGACACACCCACAAACACAGACACCAATGTCCTTGGCAACCACAATCACACACTGAGAGATGAGCCTTCAGGTGACAACAAGAATGGTGAGGATGGGGCTGAGGGTGACCCTGATGGCAGCAACAACCGTCACTCTGCAGCTGCTGCAGCATAACTACTAGCTCTGTGACCTTGCCCAGGACTGTAGTCTCCTGGCCAGGAGGGCCTCTCTCCAGGCACATGGGACTCCCACGCACCTTTGCTACCTGCCACGATCCCAGGCCCAGGAAGACCAACAAGCCCCCTCCCTTCCTCACAAGATCACAGAATAGCTCCCAAGTGCAGCCCCGGTCATGTTAGGTTCAGAAGGGAAGCAGTAGGGAAGGGATTGTGGTCCCATTCTCCAGATGAGGGAATGAGGCCCAGTATGGAGAAGCAGCTCATCCATGGTCACCTCCCAGAGTAGAAGCCAGGTTAGTCAGAGAACCTGATTCCTGATGTCCAGGCTCACAGTCTACACCACACTACTCTCACCTTAGCCCTCTGAGCCTTCTTTCAGCTCAACCAGCTCCAAGTGTTGGCCGCAGAAGGAGGTTGCCCTGTACAGCCACTTCCCAGGGCAGGGCAGGCAGGGGAGAGACTGGGGCTTGCCTGGGAAATCCCTGCCCTGTCTTCCTAGCACAAACAAGCCTGGAAAGTTCAGCACTAACCCAGAAATGGGGTATAAATGAGGGCAGTGCTGACTGACACATTGGTCCCACCTTCCTGTCTACTGTCCATCAAGAAGAACCCTGACCTGAACTAAAGTCAAATTCTTCTTCCAAAAGAGAAGAAAAAGGGAGGAGTAAACCCTTGACTGGGAATCTAAAGCCTGGTTCTATTCCTGCTCTGCCTCTACCTCCTGTGTGATGTGGTCACTTGCCGTCTCTGGGCCAGGTGTCCTCACCTAAGTGGAGGATGGCTGGACCAGATGATCTCTAAACCTGGACTCTGGGGCCAAAGCAGTTATGGGAATATCCGGTTGAAGTAACCACCAGTGGTCAACCAGTCTGATTACTACTCCTCTCACCCCTGCAGTGCCCCAGAATTGCTGCCCCAAAGCTGTCTCCACTCCAGTGTGGCAGCTTGACCCAGGGGCTCCAAACACATCTGCTGTGTTTGTGTCCCAAAACATCCTGGTTGAGAGTCACCAAATTATCTCCAGACACAGCCCTAGCCCCCACACCCACAGAATTTTTCCAAGACAATTGATCTAACCCCGCCCCTAGTCCCCATTCCACCCTACCTGTTTGAGTTTTTCAGTGGTACATTTACTCAACAAATATTTATTAAGCATCTACAGTGTGCTAAGCACTGTTCCTGAAGCTGAGGATACAGTCGGCAGACTCCTTTCCCTCCCAGAGATGCTGTTTCAATGGGTTGATCAGAACTAGACCCCAGGGTCAGATCAAATCATAGTGTAGTGAGACCATGGCTCTCAATGCTCTGGACAACACACTGTCCTTCAGCTATATGGTTCTCAATGGCAGGGACTACAGTTGCATCATCGTTGATTCCCTAGAATCATCCTTGATTCCTCAACGCTAGTCCTGACACTCAGAAGACCCCATTGAATGGATGAGTGGGAGGATAGATGATAAGTGAAAGACAGATAAGTGGAAGGAAGAATGGCTGGTCAGATAGATGAACAGATGAATGGATGAATGAATAATGAATAGATCATGGAGGATAGATGGATGGATGAATGAATAAATGGATGGATGAACAGATGGTGAATGGATAGATGGATGAATAGACGGTGGATAGATGGATGGATGAGTAGATGACGGATGGATGGATGGATGGATAGTAGATGGATGAATAAACATATTGGTGGATGGATGGATGGATGGATGGATGGAGAGATCATAGATGGGTCTGACATGGTGGCTCAAGCCTATAATCCCAGCACTATGGGGGGGCCAAGGTGAGAGGTTGAGAACAGCCTGAGCAACTTGGCAAGACTTCATGTCTACAATAAATTTTTTTAAAAAAATTAGCTGGGCATGGTAACGCATGCCTGCCGTTACCATGGAAGGCTGAGGCAGAAGGATCACCTGAGCCCAGCAGGTCAACGCTGGGGTGGCCGTGAGCGTGCAACTGCACTCCAGTCTGGGTGACAGAGTGAGATTCCAACTCAAAAAAAAAAAGAGAGATCACGGATGTATGGATGAATGACTGAACAGAGATGGATGGATGGATGAAGAGATCGTGGATGGATGGATGGATAATGAGTATCCATCCATGATGGATAATGAGGGTAGATAGGTAGAATAGACTAATAAGCAGGCAGACCAACATGATTTTAAACTGTAAATGTTGTTGGAGGTTGCATCCTTCAGGTGACTCCCACTGTGCTCTCGGTGCCTAAAGCCCTTACCTCTCCTAAGCCACATCCCCTTCCCAATCTTGCACAAGAAGCTAAGGAGCAGCCCTTTGTTGTTTCGGCTCTACCGCCTCACCTCATAGCCTCCTCCCAGAGCCCAAGAATGGTCCAGAAAGCCAGCTCATCAGAGTCAACTCATGAGAGCATCTATCTACTCCAGGCCTGAGGCTGAGGCCCGAGGAAAGGGAAGACGTGTTTCCTCATCCCACCCTGCAGTGTCCTCTCTTGTGCTGAGGGGTTGTGCTGAGCCACCAGGCTGCTTACTCACCACCTCATCCACACCTTCTCTCATTTTCCTGCCTGCTCCTTCATTGACTCACCTACTTACTCAAAAACTACTAATAGTCTCTGTGTGGAAAACTCAGAGGTCAGGAATGACCCTTCCAGTTACTCCATCCTCAGAGATCCCAATCAGAGCTAAGACATCATCCTAAAGACCACATCAACCTCTTCAGAGGGGGTTTGGGCTATGGGAGCCCAAGGGAAGAGAAGGTCGTTCCCATTAAGGACAGGGATCAGGGAAGGCTGTGCACTCCATCCGTGGGATTTGGTCTGGGTCTTGACGCAGGCCTGTGGTTTGGGAAAAACCCTGAAGGCAGAGAGAGCAGCATAAGAAAGCCTCTTCAGGAGGAAGTTGAGGGCTGTGCCGGGAGAAGGAAGCCCTTGGTGGCTAGAGCACCAGATGTGAGGACAGTGATGAGAGCCGTGCTGGTGAGGACCTGACTGTTGGGCAAGGACAGACTCCTGGGCCAGAGCAACTGCTAGATTGTGAGGGCCTATCCCAAACCTGCCCGACTTGCCACTGCACACACCGCATCTCACCCACCATCATAAGCACATGGCAAGGTCTAGGCCACATGACATCCTGGCTCCTGACCTGCTGCAGATGCTGTTTGTTCATTCCAACCTTTGGTCCAAACTAAAGGGCACCACCTGGATATTGTTGATTCAGGTGAGCAGACAGCTTGACACCAATTCTCCTGCATTTCTGTCCCTTTGAAGTCAAAGATCTATCCTCAAGCAGCCCCTGGGCTGGGAAGGAGCCTGTCTGGCCACCTGCTTTGTCCCAAGAAATGTCCAAGTGCTTGCAGCTCTGCAAGTCCAGCTCCTCCACAGCCTCCATCGGCCCTGGACATCCTCTGACCCTGGGTATTCTTTTTTCCAGTGCCCAGGAAGGAGGCCGTGATGGCAGCTGCTCACAGGCAATGGCACAAAGGTTCAGGCAAACCTTCCAGGTCCAATAATCTCTCCCACTCCAGACCTCCTGATGCTTTCAACTCCACCATTAGTGTGTATGTCTTTAGGGGTCAGCACTGCCCTCTTTCTTTACATATAATTTATTCTTTTCTTTCCCTCTCTTGGCCCAAGTCCTCCACTCAGTTCTGAGAGAAATGCCCAAATCTTTATATGAGGGCCCTCACTGAGCTCTTGGGGAGGAATGGCTACCACTTCAGGAGACAAAGGGTCACATCTCACTTTCTGGCCCTTGGCTGAGCTGAGGAAGCTTCACAGAGCTGAGTCTAGAGATAAGTTTTCTGGGGATGAGCTCAGAAAAGGAAGCTTGACTGTTCCTGCTGAGGGAAGAACTAAAACCCTGTCCTCAATCCTTCCCCAAGGTCCAAACTTCCCCTAGAAAAGTGGGAAGGGAGAGGGAAGGGGGAAGAAAGCCAGGAAGTTGGTCCTTGCCAACTTAGCTTGGGTATGTCTTTGCTCTTTCCAGGATAAGCCCACCTAGACCCAGGCTGCCCCCACGGTCCCGTGACACCTGCCTGATCTCCATCTCCACCCAGTTTTCTCTCCTAAGCTCTAGGACGGTGCCTCTACCTGGGTGTCCCTCAGGCATCTGTTGCCCAACATTTCGCAACTGAACTTGGCTCGTTCCTCCTGACCTCAATCCGTCTCTGACGTGCCATGGCAGAAGCAGCCCCACCATCCCTGCAGGTACCCCCACCAAGGCTCCTCTTTTTCTCTTCCCTCCCATAGTTGGTCCTCAGACCCTGTGATATGAATACATCTCTGTGCTCTCCCCTCATCTCCATTCCTGACCACCCAGGTTCAGACCTCACCATCTGTCACCTGAGCTCCCCAACAGCCTCCTCCTTGCCTCCAGCCTGCCCTTTAATCATCGTCCACTCGGATCACCTAGAAGAACCTCTCCAAAGTGCAAGTCTTGCCATGACCCTCCCTCCCACACAAAATCTCTCCACGGCATCCCACTGCCCTCGGGATTGTCCAGGTTCCTTAACTGACCCCAAGACCTAGCTCCAATGGGACTCAACTCCCCAAAGACTCCTCCACCCACCCAGCACTTCCGCTGCACCAGACTCCTCCCTCCCGGTTTCTGCCCTGAATCTCTACTCCCACATTCCTCTACCCAGATGCTCTTTCCCTTCTTCTCCACTTGCCAACATCCTCTCGAACACCGCCTCCTCCAGGAAATGCACTGAGACTGCCCACAGGATCAGAATGACCTGCTCCTCTTCAGACCCCACCTGACTAGTTCACCTCTCTCTGGGCACTTCCCACACTCTCTTTTGTGTCCCCTTTACCAGACTGTGAGCAGGGGTGGGTACTTTTTCCTCTCTGTGTCCCAGTCTCCCAATCCCAGGCCCAGCCCTGGGCCTGGTACACAGGACACCACCACTAATTATGACTACTCCAAGTAACAGCCAGATGGAAAGTAGCAACAGGGGGCTTGGGACGGGGCGGAGGTGACAAGGCCAACCTAGACTAGGGGGTCACTCCAGGTCCAAGGGAAGCACAACTGAGGCAGGTGGTGGGAGGGGGCAGCTTGAGAGGGACCAAGTCAGCAGAAGAGTGGAGAATCTGCAAAGCTGAGGGACAGAAAGGGGTGACCCTAGAGAGGTCCACTTCCTGCTCCTGATCTCCTCCAGGTCCCCAGCCTGGAAGTAGAGCTAATCATCCCAGCCCTGCCCAGTTCCCCGGGGGCCACATGGAGGGACGATGACAATAACAATGGTGAAGGTAACACACTGCCAATGCCAACACGTGTTGAGCACGACTGCATGCCAGGCACTGTGCCGAGCACTGTGCTGACGTGATCCCAATTACCCATCATCCCATGAATTGGCACCATTGCTGTGTCCCCTTACCCACATGGAGTCAGGGAGCTTGAATAACCTGGCTGGGTGCACAGTGGATCGAAAGCCATTGGTGTGCGTGGAAAACATACTTAGTGGAGGGCCCAGGCTACCTGGAATCCCCACTCACCTTTTTGCTCCTTGCCTCAAAGGTGAATCCAGCAACCCCTCACCTTCCCCAGGAGCCTTCCTGAATGCCCCTGCCTCAGTGCCTTTAGTGTCCACTGGTCCCTCAGCCCCCAAGTGTACAGTGCTATTCCCGCCACCATCCCCCTGTCACACCTAGTCGGGCACCAGGTCACCCCAGGTGAGACTGAGAGGTGACGACCCAAGCCAAGGGCTCCCCATGCCCCCCATGGTGCAGATCCCAGGCTCGAGCCCTCTGGTCCTACTTCTTCTTTGTGGGGGTGGTCTCCACTGGCCTCTTCTCTTGAAGGATAGCAGGATTCCCACTGGGGGCAGCAACTCTCCTGCCCATGAGAGGCACCATCTCCTTGGGGTGGATGTTCATGGCTGGAACACAGTAACAAGGCAAATGCTCAGGCTGAGGAGACACTGAGGAGCTTTGGGAGGCTCCAGACCCCCATGTGGCACCATCTGACTCCTGTTCACATTCCCTGGGACTGGAAGCTCACTCCCTTACCTTCCCAGGTCATCAACTCTTCTCAAGGAGAGAAATACTGCCCCTGAAGTTTCCTCTGCTTCCTGCTCCAGCATCCCAGCTCCTATGGCCCCAGGAGAACCCAGCAGAGTGTCTAGGTAGAGACCACCACGCCCCAACCTCTCTCAAGGCACCATCTCCAGTCTACCACTCTCCACGTGGACTTCTGAGAATTAGCTCTGCTTTCTTGATGTTCCTCTCAGACTCTATGTTCAGAGCTTTTCTCAGCAAAGCAAGATTGTCACTTCCTTTGCTCCACACAGCCTCGAGATCTTCAGGTGTTTTGGATTTCTCTCTGCAGCTAACACACTGATCATCTCCCTCACCCACCCAAAACTGAGCACAATCGACCTCGCGGCTGTCTGTCTGTCCATTAACCTCCCCTCTCACCTGAGAGTCAGCTGAGTCCCCTTGCCCCAGGTGGAGGAGGTTGACTCCTCGGTCCAGATCTGCTTAGCTGATGCTAAGTACTAAACTCCGAGACGTGTGGAGACGTGGGGAAGAGGGACTGATCCGTCTTCCAAGGAAACTAGGAAAGAGGGGGACTTAGAGTCTGCAGTGTGGAAGAAGGTAGACGGCACTGCCTGGGCAAAGACTGGGGGGTAAGAATGGCCAGTGAGTGGCAGGGGCTGGTGTGGCAGGAGAACCTGGGGAGTTCATGGGGAGCCTGACAGCGAGAGGCTTGAGAGGGTCACATGGGAGCTGCAGCTGATCCTGAGGCAGCTGGGAGCACGGGGGCCTTCCGGTTACATGGGAGAGAGCTGCCTTATAGAAAGCAGGCTGTGGGGGGAGCATCGGGATGAGGAGGAGGGCCAGCTGGCCATAGAGGATGAGACGGACAAGGGAAGGGGTTGTGTGGACGAGAGCTGACTCTGCAGATAAGGGGGGCCATTCTCAGCTTGAGTCACCCTTAAGGAACTCACCCAGAGACTCAGAGGTGGGTAGGAGGATAGATTTCTGGAAGAAGAGCCCTACTAGGTGAGGTGGGTCACTGGTGATCCTGCCCAAATAGGAATGCTTCCCGGAGGAAGTCTCCAGAGAAGGTTATCATCAGGCTGGAGTTCCCCCCACCAGGACTGGGAGTCATCTGGGGGAGAGATTTGGCCCTGGAGTGGAAGCACCTTGAGGCCAGACAGATGGAGCCGCCTGCTGAGAGAGAATCCTGGCACTGCCTGATGAGGATGTGCGGCCTTCACCACCTTTCCCAGCCCAAAGTGACCTGCAGTGGAACTAAAAGGCTGGGCTTGCTCCAGAGTGAAGGAGAGAATGGAGGGCCAGTCTCTTACCCATCCCTAGGCATCTAGATTTCCTTCTGAGAAATGGACCGAATAGTCCCCAAGCGTTCTGTAGCCCTGAGAGAGAGTCTATCCTCCCTGCCTGGGGCCCATGAATGTGGGCTGTCTTGGGCAGCTGGGGCAGGAGAGGGTCAGGATAACGCTGCACTAGGGTTGCAGCTGCTATAATTAGCTCTCTGAGTCACCCTATAAACCCTGTGTTCTCATCTGCTGGACTCTCTCACTGCCCTGGCCCTCCCTCTCTCTCCGATTGAGCTTCCTCACCTGGGAAGTGGGATGTGGAGCCTCTCAAGCTCTGACACTGATTGAAGTGGCCTTTCCTTGGAGACAGACCAGGCCCAGAGGCCACAGCTGCTGGCTCAGCACCTGTGAGATGCTGGGCCCCTGTCCCTCTCCAGCTCCAGGGCCACCTCATCTCATCCTGAACTCCCATCACACTCCTGCCCTGGAGAGCCTCATCCCTGGGCCCACTGGGGGAGAAAGGAGCCTCACCACTGCCCCTCAGCAGCCATGAGACATTCTTCCTCCTCAGAATTCCCACACCTCAGGGAAAGCTTCCTGGGTTCACAAGAACCTGTATTCTCAAATACCCCCTGCAGCTAAGAACTCACGGCTTTGCTTCCCTCACTGGAGGCCCAAGCTCCCTCCAAATCCTCCTCCAAGGCCTATTGGCAAAGAGCAGACAGAGCCCAGAGGACTCCTGAGGTCCATGCTCTGGTGGCCTTGGAAGACACCAGCTGTCTCGTGCAGGGAGGACTCACCTGGTGAGGCTCTGGGTGGCGGTGGCAGCCCTTGCTCTGCGTTCACCGCATGTCTGGGGCCCAAGACTCCTGGGTAGGACTGTGGCCGAGGCGACCAGAGGCTCTCATCACAGGCAGAGGGATGGCTGGAATGAGAAGTCAGAGGCAGAACAGGCTGGGCCACCTGCTGTAGGCACCAGGCAGGCCACGCCCACCAGCCATAACTGCAGTGTCTGCCCGCCCACGTGCCCTGTGTGAGTCACCCACACACCCACACAGCAGCCTCACCCCCACCGGGGAAAAGACAGGAAAGGTGTCAAGGTCAAAGCTCTGGGCCCAACTCTTTTCTCTCTGGTATTTGATGCTGGGCCTCAGTTTCCCCAAATGGGAAACGGGAATCATAATGCCTACTTCTCAAGGATGTCATGAGGGCTCAAAGAAATAATGGAGGTGAGAGGGCTTAGTAAATGGTCAACGACTGCCCTGACCCCTAGGAGGGAAGTCCACAGCCGAGGGTTGGCCTGGTTGATCCCAAGGTGGCCAGCCTTAAGACTTGGCACTCATCTTTCAAATTCAGTTCCTGGGATCAGGTTTCCCTGAGACAGAGGAAGTACCATTCAATTTTTCCTAGCAGCAATCATGCATCATGGGCCTTAGTGTGAGTCTCGCCCCTTCCTGGCTATATGACCTTAGGCAAGTCATTTCTCCAAGCCTCAGTTTCCTCATTTGCGAGATGTGTGTAACAAGCTCATCTTACAAGTTTACTGTGGGGTTTCAATGAGAGACCAAACAGAAGGGGCCAGAACGAGGCCTAGAGCACAGAAAGAACTCAATAAATAGTGACAGCTATTAGCTATTACTGTTTTTGTCATGTCAATTTATTCTCCCAGCAACTGCCTGGACCACATTTCCCCAAGGTCAGAGCATGGCAGGAAGACTCTGTGCCCTCTGTTCTGGCCCAAGCCTCCACTGTGAAGGGGGTGGAGCAAGGCCGGGGCAGCCCAGCTTTCACGTCACTCAGGAATTGCACACCTGCTCCTGAGGGCGGGCAAGATGTGAACAAGACAGGACTGGGACAGAGCAGGAAGTCTTTGCTGACAGGGTGGCGCTGGTCCCCGAAGCTGCGGGGAACACCCGACTACCATCAGAGGCAAGCCCTCAGTCCCTCATCACCACAACCTGCTGGGCATGGAGGAGGCAGAAGGTAGGAGCAGGCTTCTGCACCGTGGGAGAACAGGACCTGTGGCCAGTAAGGAGCAGAGCAGGCTTGCAGGTGTGAGTGAAGTGGAGGCTGCTTCTGCAGCTGATGTCAAGGAAGTCCTGAAGTTCCCTCTCGTCCTGAAATCCCTCAGTCGAGATTTGAAATCTCGTTGCTGTGCCTGAAACTCCACCATTAAAGCCCAGCCTTGAGCTGAGCACAGATCCTTCCCTCACCCCCATTACCGCTTGCCCTCTCCTGACTCAGCCCCGCACCCCTCCTATCTGGCTTCTGACAGCTCAGACTCCTGGAGGTGACACTGTTGCCAAATGTTTGTTTCTCTTTTCCTTGGGTAAATCTTTTCTCTGAGAGGGCGGGTGGTTAAAAGCCCAGCTCGTGACCCGCTTGGGCAACTTGGCGAGACCTCATCTCTACAATAAATCAAAAAATTAGC